GCTTTCGCTGTTTTCTCGCTGGTTCCGCCATGATAACTGCACAAAGATCGCCACTGTGCTAGCAACGAGCACGCGGGCGGCCGAGAAAACCTTTGTTCGACCTGAAATGACTCATTTAATCATCCAAAACGTTATGGAACACATTAATTAACTGAAAAATGTTGCATAGTATGCCTTTAACTGTGATTTCAGGCATTCCAAAAAGGTTAAGAATCAATCCACTGGATTTTGTTTCCAAGTTTGAAAACTTTTCCCTTCCCATCCAGGAAGATTTTTCAATTTAGAATGTCAGCAATAAGGTTGAGTTCGAGGCTTTATATAGTGGACCAAAAACAAAGCCTTGTTTTGGCTTAAAAAACATCCAAATTGAATCGGCAAACGGGTCTTTCCCTTAGTAATGGGCAGTAGTCTGGGTTCCATGTCAGGCGTAAATTCATTCTACATCCCTGGCCCATTTTTAGAAATGGGGATAAGTCAGAAATAGTACCGGGGTAAAGCCCTGCATTTGATTTTCAGTTTCAGAACACTGGGAAAAATCGAAATCTTAATAAGTCTTTTTTTCTTAAAATAAGTGTATTATGATTAAGGAGATAAAAGAGACATTTTGCCAATGGAACAGGACAATTTACACTTAAAATAAGAAAACACAACTGCATTGTCTAATTTTAAGTGCATATTATCTAATTATCTTATTTTAAGACTAAAAATACTAATTCCATTAGCAAACTATCTCATTTACCTTCTCAAATTAAGGGTAAATACACTTAATTTACGACATTTTTATTAATTTCTACATCGTTTTTCCAGTGAAAGCAGGATAGCGGTTATCCAAAGCACAGTTTATACGCGTTACTCCAACTCTGGTCCATAGCAGGATTTATTGGAGTTATACTCAACCTGTCACACATTTGGCTGAAATCAGACATGATGTCCTTTACTTCAGGAGCCTGTAGAGGTTGTAGAGCAAATGCTCATCAAGCTCCATGTGATAAGATGCATTTTTTAATATGGATTCACAGATTTTTGAGCTTCAGTTTTCATCAGAGTTCAAAGTTATTGCATTTGTCAAATAAGGCTAAGAAAGGCTATGTAATTCAGTAGGTAAAGATTAAACAGAACAAGAGCGTACACAAGCGTACAGACACTTTTTTTTATGTTAAATAATTCTAATGTTGAGAATGAAACATTATTCTGTTTTTTGTAATATATTTTAAATTCTATTTAACGGAAACGCAGACTTTTATATTTCTTATTTCTCTTCTTCTTACTGTACTGTTGATTCAAAACACAAAAACTATGAGTAAGTCGTCTTTTAAAAGTACTGTGACGCTTTCGATAATCAAAGAAATATTTTCTAGTTTCTAAATAGACTGTTGCAGGTCAGGGCCCTTTAAACTAAAAAACGCATTTTAAACATTAAACATTTATTGATAGTTTAGATGTTTTCAATTCAATTCAGTTTATTTCTATAGCGCCAATTCACAACACATGATCATCCAGTCAAATTGATTCAAAGTTTTCTATCCAAGGAATTGACTGGAAGGCAATCCCTCACACTAAGCATGCTTGCAGCAACAGTTTTTTGTATTATATGTGTTTTTAACTAAGGAAGAAATCATCTTTGATCCCACAGTCGTTCCAGCAGGAGATTTCTCTAACAACAGCCAAGATTGAGCACATCTTCCACCAGGGGGAGGCGCTGATAGAGAAAAGCGAGCCTCTGGATGCTGCTGTCATAGAGGAAGAGCTGGAGGAGCTTCAGCGCTACTGTCAGGAAGTTTTTGGGCGAGTCGAGCGCTACTATAAAAAGCTCATTCGTCTTCCAGTAAGAACACAAATTTAGTGCTCTCATTTGTTTTCTCGAGCACATTAAGTTTGTTTCTTTAATTTGCCAAAATGCTTCATTTCTAGCTTGCAGATGACGATACTGAAGTGTCATTCTCTGATCGTGAGCTGGAGCTGGATGAACCTGGAGATTTGTCCAGCCTACCATGGAATGAGCGTTTGGGGGATGGTTTCCTTTCCCCCCTGCCCTCCTCTGGGCGCTCAGCCTCCCTGGCAGCTCAGCTTCGGGCTGAACGCTCTGGCAGGGACACACCTGCAAGTGTGGACTCCATCCCCCTTGAATGGGACCATGACTATGACCTGAGCCGTGGCCTTGAGAGTGCGAGCAGAGCCCTCAGAGAGCAGCACAGCGAAGAGGGAGACTTCCTGCAGCGTCCCGCCTCTGGCCTGTCAGGTCAGTTACAAACTGAGAAAATAGCTTTACCCTGAGATTAAACCCGTGTTTATTGACCTGGTTAGATAAAAAGGAGTGTTTGCATTTCCTTACCATGATTGCAAATGTGTCATTAAGGTTTTCCATTTAAAAAAAGATCCATAAAAATGAGAAATAAGCTAAAAATGAGTAAGAAGATATACCTTCTGTTTAGTTAAAGGATGGAGACCAAATTTGAGCATCTTTTCCTGTTTTTGTAAAGCTTTGAACTCTAAGTTTTAGCCAGTTAGGTTTTTTTCTCTAATAACTTTGACAAAATCAGTTAAGGATTGCACTGGAATACAGCTCTTCCAGCTTTGCTGTCATAAATGGACATTAAGTGATTTTTGTAAGGAGCAGAATCAGAATTTTGAATCACTTAAAAACAGGATTGCATAGCTTTAATGGAAATGCTTAAAGTCATAGGGAAGCCATATTTGAATTTCAAATCATTCTGGCTTAAACGTGTAAA